ATCAAAATGGTGATTTAATTAATAACTAATAACAAAATAACAAAATTCGATAACTTTAGTATTTTAACTCCCTGGAAAATTTTTAGCTGATTTAGAAATCAGTTACTACCTTCTAATGTAGAAACTTATTTCACTTATTTTTATGTGAACATTATATAAAATATGTAAAACTAGATCATCCCACAAACGATACTTCAATTATGCTAATGTAAATTATCAATAATACACAATAATTGTTATTTTTAAGAAAATTAAATAGTTCAACTAAATTGATTCAAATACTTAAAAACGTACAAAAACGTTCAAGCGCTCTATGTAAGCTGCTGACTTAGTTTTATGCTTTAAGTTATTAGTATTTTCCAAAATATTTGATAATTTTAAATTTCATAAATTTAATTATCAGTTTTATAGCATGTAGTCATAAAATTAAACATATGTCACACAAAATGTATACACATTTCTCACATATTAATTAAACAATTAGTGATTGAATTAAATTGTTGGTAATTTAATTTAAATTTTAGTGTGTCGTCATATTTTGCATCAGTCGTAGTAGATATATAAATTGTGAATTGAAACGAAATCAATCAATTGTTTTGTTTATATAGCTAAAAGGAATTTTAATGTATAAATAGAGTCATAAGAGGCTGACATCTAGACTTAAAAATACTCGTTTTAACTGGATTTTATTAAAAAAAAAGCAAGTCATGTATTTCTTAATTATTCAGTGCGCAGTGCAATAAATAAATTTAATATTTTTTGTAAATTATTTAGTTACTTGATTTAATAAATTAAAAAAAATATATATTAAATTTAATATTTCTTTTGAAATTCACTCACTTCCTTATTCAAAATTTTGCCTCCGCCTTTCTTTCTCAAAAATCTTTTCTTCGTATCTTCTGGCAATAAATCAGCTAGACTCTCTAGAGTCTGTAACAGATGGTGACAGTCTTTAAGATCTCATTATCGTCATTTTTTGTGAAATTCATTAAATCAGTAACAACAAATAATTATTTTATGTTAATGATAATGTCAAAATCAAACCAAAAATTAAGAACAAAAAAATTTAAATAAAAAAGACAACACGTGAAGTGTGCAGTATAACATTTTATTTATATAATTCATTAAAAATACAAATGTTAGCAGGAGGAAAATATTTATGAATATAAATATGCATAATTTAATTGTATTTTTAATGTCATCTTTGTATATGAATGAAATAACCTAAGCGTACTAGAAAAAACCGAAAGTTATGTTCACAATAATCAAATATTTTAGGAAATAAATACAACCTTCACTGTATTAAGTGCGGCCTTTGATAGGTTAGTTGTCATTGTTCTAGTAGACCGGAGGAGGTGGGTTTGGTGAAGGAGCGCACAACAGGTCCTATAGAGGCCTAGATTTACATATTTCTTGGGATTTGATGTATATACAAACCAACAAATTAACTAACTAACTAACTAACTAACTAACTAACTAACTAACTAACTAACTAACTAACTAACTAACTAATTAACTAACTAACTAACTAACTAACTAACTAACTAACTAACTAACTAACTAACTAACTAACTAACTAACTAACTAACTAACTAACTAACTAACTAACTAACTAACTAACTAACTAACTACTAACCTAACTAACTAACTAACTAACTAACTAACTAACTACTAACAATACTAACTAACTAACTACCTACTAACTAACTACTAACTAACTAACTAACTACTAACTAACTAACTAACTACTACTAACTAACTAACTAACTAACTAAACTACTAACTAACTAACTACTAACTAACTAACTACACTAACTAACTAACTAACTAACTAACTAACTACTAACTAACTAACTACTAACTAACTAACTAACTACTAACTACTAACTAACTACTAACTAACTAACTAACTACTAACTAACTAACTACTACTAACTACTAACTAACTAACTAACTAACTAACTACTAACTACTACTAACTAACTAACTAACTAACTAACTAACTACTAACTAACCTAACTAACTACTAACTAACTAACTAACTAACTAACTACTAACTAACTAACTACTAACTAACTAACTAACTAACTAACTAACTACTAACTAACACTAACTAACTAACTAACTAACTAACTAACTAACTAACTAACTAACTAACTAACTAACTAACTACTAACTAACTAACTAACTAACTAACTAACTAACTAACTAACTAACAACTAACTAACTACCTAACTAACTACTACTAACTAACTACTAACTAACTACTAACTAACTAACTAACTAACTAACTAACTAACTAACTACTAACTAACTAACTACTACTAACTAACTAACTAACTAACTAACTAACTAACTAACTACTAACTAACTAACTAACTAACTAACTAACTAACTAACTAACAACTAACTAACTAACTAACTAACTAACTACTAAAACTAACTAACTAACTAACTAACTAACTAACTAACTAACTAACTAACTAACTAACTAACTAACTAACTAACTACTAACTAACTAACTAACTACTACTAACTAACTAAAACTAACTAACTACCTAACTAACTAACTACTACTAACTAACTAACTAACTAACTAACTAACTAACTAAACTAACTAAACTAACTAACTAACTAACTAACTACTAACTAACTAACTAACTAACTAACACTAACTAACTAACTAACTAACTAACTAACTAACTAACTAACTAACTCTAACTAACTAACTAACTAACTAACTAACTAACTAACTAACTAACTAACTAACCTAACTAACTAACTAACTACTAACTAACTACTAACTAACTAACTAACTAACTACTACTAACTAACTAACTAACTAACTAACTACTAACTAACTAACTAACTAACTAACTAACTAACTAACTCTAACTAACTAACTAACTAACTAACTAACTACTAACTAACTAACTAACTAACTAACTAACTAACTACTAACTAACTAACTAACTAACTAACTAACTACTCCTAACTAACTAACTAACTAACTAACTACCTAACTAACTAACTAACTACTAACTAACTAACTAACTAACTACTAACTACTAACTACTAACTAACTAACTAACTAACTACCTAACTAACTAACTAACTAACTAACTAACTACTAACTAACTACTACTAACTAACTAACTAACTACCTAACTAACTAACTAACTAACTAACTAACTAACTAACTACTAACTAACTAACTAACTAACTAACTAACTACTAACTAACTAACTAACTAACTAACTAACTAACTAACTAACTACTAACTAACTAACTAACTAACTACTAACTAACTAACTACTAACTAACTAACTAACTAACTAACTAACTAACTAACTAACTAACTAACTAACTACTAACTAACTAACTAACTAACTAACTACCTAACTAACTAACTAACTAACTAACTAACTAACTAACTAACTAACTAACTAACTAACTAACTAACTAACTAATACTAACTAACACTAACTAACTAACTAACTAACTAACTAACTAACTAACTAACTAACTAACTAACTAACTACAAACTACTAACTAACTAACTAACTACTAACTAACTAACTAACTACTACTAACTACTAACTAACTAACTAACTAACTAACTAACTACTAACTAACTACTAACTAACTAACTAACTAACTAACTAACTAACTAACTAACTAACTAACTACTAACTAACTAACTAACTAACTAACTAACTAACTACTACTACTAACTAACTAACTACTAACTAACTAACTAACTAACTAACTACTAACTAACTAACTAACTAACTATAACTAACTAACTAACTAACTAACTAACTAACTAACTAACTAACTAACTACTAACTAACTACTACTAACTAACTAACTAACTAACTAACTAACTACTAACTACTAAGTAAGTAACTAACTAACTAACTAACTAACTAACTAACTAACTAACTAACTAACTAACTAACTACTAACTAACTAACTACTAACTAACTAACTAACTAACTAACTAACTAACTAACTAACTAACTAACTAACAACTACTAACTAACTAACTAACTAACTAACTAACTACTAACTAACTAACTAACTAACTAACTACTAACTAACTAACTAACTAACTAACTAACAAACTAACTAAACGACGTAAACGTTCGAGCCAACACCAGCTATCCTGGGTTTATGCAGAATACCATATGGAACGAGAATCCATAGCGTAGGTGTTAAAACCGTACCCCTGAAAATGGTCAATATCTCAGTTTAGTAGTGCCTTCCATTTGAATCCAGCAGATTTCGGAAAAACCCAAATTTCTTCTAAAATCTTGACGAATACTTCTCAATACTTTATGGTTAAATATTTAAAATAAAATATTTCGGGATATTACATATAGCCCATACAATATAAATTATATTCCCGAAGTATTTAAAAATCGTTTCTTTTTTCAATATAAAGGTCAAAGGTTAAATTTTGCAATATTTTTTTGGAATTCTTATTGATTCAAATTGATAGAAATATTATGTAGTTTTCGGCCTTATGTAAAAAATTACAGACATTTGTAGTATAAAGCTCAATATTTAAAATAACAGCAGAAAAACAAAACAAAATTAACCCTTCAATGCACCTGGGTCAAATATAACCTCAAAGCTGAAAAACCCAAATAGAGTTAAACATTTTGCTAAATGATTCAACTTTATGCATATACATACAAAGAAATATAAACAAATTTAGACATTCCTACTCATCCCACAAATAAGTTTAACAAAAAAAATTTAAGATAAATATTTAAAACTACAATATAATTTGCGTAAATATTTGAGAGAATGAAATTTTGCAGGTGAAAAAATATAAACAAATTACTAACTAAACGCCTTGAACACAAACTAATCATTGTTTATATAATAAAACTTGGAAAAAAATACTAAAAATAGATATTATATTTACTCAATAGCTTTTAAAATCTTCCCAAAAAACACTAATTTTAAATTAATATTTTATTTACTTACAGAACAACACAAATACGGAAATTTTTGGAAAGAAGGGACAGAACGTGAGAGAGAGAGAGAGAGTACAAAACTGAAAACTAAAATCATTTCAACATGGAGACTGAATCTTTAAATCGTAAAAATTCTTCACGGAAAAATTCCATTGTCAATGGAAATGGTGAAACAACGGCTAAAGCGGATAGTGGTGATGGCGGTGGAGAAGTTACGCTTAAGGCTAAAATGAGTCTACTTAATGGTTGCACTGTTATTGTGGGTTCCATTATTGGTTCGGGTATTTTTGTCTCACCCACAGGTGTCCTCATGAATACCGGCAGTGTTAATTTGGCTTTAATTGTCTGGGTGGCATCGGGTCTATTTTCAATGGTAAGTTATCGTTTTAATATGTTGAAATATTTCTACTTAGCGTACAACAAAGTATTTTATTATTATGTATTATTAATATTTTAAATGCAAATTTACTTGAAAAGAAAACAAATAAAATTCAAGTATTTTATTGTCTTTTAAATAAATTAGAACAAGTGATAACCGGTAGAATGAATTTAAGTACACAGTAGTTATAATACTTAGAAGAACAGTACTTGTGCCAGTACTACAAATGAAATATCTCTTGAGTAATCTAATTATAAACAAAAAAATGTGGAATCGTGTCGATTTGTTTTTCGTTAAGTTGATTAAATAATAAGCAGACACATGCTGAATATTGTTTATTTATCTTCAAATATACCCTACATCTTAGGGAATATACTAAAATTGTGATACAGTTTGTAAAAAGTTTTTTAAGCGAAGTTAAGAAAGATTTTATAAAACAATGTCAATATACCCATTATAGGGTACTATTTAAATTAAGAAGTTCATAACTAGTTACACATCTGTTCAGTTTGTTTACATTACTTTGACATCAGAGAATTTGTTTTCTTAAAAGCTCGGATGTATGTATATTATTTAAGGTAGGAAAACTAGGTCTGTTTATCACTTGTTGAGCTGGATAAATAAATTATAAATTATTTAAATTCATATTTACAAAAATATTCGCAATAAATACATTTGACATTAATAACAACAATGTCTTTTATATTCGCATCTGTAAACTTTCAAAATAAAAATTTCCAAAGTCATATGAATGGTAAATTACAATGAATATTTATTAATTCTATTAACAGGAACAATAGATGAATGAACTAGTTCTGTTATTTAACAACAGGTGTTTTAATTTAAAGTTTTATAAAAACTTTTTATTCATAAGGAAAATTTTTAATATGGGATTTACATATCAACTTTTGTAATAATGAAATTATTTGAATTATGAATTATTCCATATTTGTAATCGAATCACTATTTTGAAGTCCAAGGCTTTACATTATCCGACTTTACACGAGGCACAACATTATCCGACCGTTTAATGCTTTTTTCAACGTAAAATTTTATAATAAACTTTTAAAGTTTTAGCTATATATACATCAATATATTTGTAGAAGATTGATTTCGGAAATGTTCCCGACAGATTCTAAATAATAAGTTCAATATCTGGTAATGAATTAAGATCGCTGGTTGAAACATTCTGAGGTGATCTCAGATTTTTGCTCATATATCAGTTGTTTATTGACCGATTTTGTTGATTTTCAATAAGAAACTTAAGCTCTAACCAAATACTCTCCCAGAGGTAAGGTTCACATCATATGGGTACCAGGCCACTCGGTACCCAATGAAAGCGCAAATGTAATAGCTTTAAAGGGAAGGGTAGTTAACCTGACGAATGCAAAACCATTTGAAGCAACGAGGACAGAATTAAAATTGTGGGTGAGAGAAACCCATAAGACCTCTTGGAATAATGAAACAGTGGGTAAAACCACAAAGATCCTATGAGGTGACCCTAACGAGAGTAGAACGAGAGCCTCCTTAAAATGAACAAGTCTGAGGTTAGTATGATGGTACGTATTTTGAGTGGACACTCAGGATTACGAGCACAACTATACAAAATTGGACGTGTGGATTCAGACGAATGTAGAGCATGCGGAGAGGACAGTGAAACTCTGGAGTACTTTCTTTGCCATTGTCAGGCTTTCGCCGAAATTAGATCCAAATATCTTTGAAGTGATATTATCCCTCACGAACACTGATTGGAAAATTCTTAGGAATTACGTCCAGGAAACTGATTTTTTGAACATCGGACGATAATACATTTAGTGAATATTATATAAGGTTTTTGTTTTTACCAACAAACATTTTCCATGAAAAGGAGCGCACAACAGGTCCGATAGTGGCGTAGGTGTATTTCTTCGGATTTGATGTAAAAACATCCTCCTATCAACCTAACCTAACCTCAAAAGCATGTCTGATATAATTATTTAAGATTTAGTTATTAAAGACAACTGGCGTCTTCAAAAAAATGATTTCAACAGACACACAGACGGACATTGCTAAATCGACTTCGCTATCTATAAGAATGCAGAATACACATACATATACATACTCACTCAGGTGAAGGACATAAAATAGACTCATTCGTGGTCAAAACAAAATATCGTCCATCGTTAAGCTTAACTAATAATAAAAAACGCTAAACTATTAAGATGGGATTGTCTTAACATTCACGTTAATATTAAGTTCCTTATATTATAATTTTAATTCACGTTTAAATTTCTAAAGGTGGTTGTTCTCTTTGCTTAACTAAGTAAATACATTTTGTCGTCAATAGAATGATACAATATTAATACATAATTCATTTTCATGGATTTTTTTGTTGATACAAGTGAAAAAATTAATTTAATCAATTAACAACATAAACTGTTACGCTTGTATTTATAAAAAAATCTTATTTTGATTTTAATGCACTCAATAGTTAAAGCACACTTTAGCCTTAAAAACCATTAATAAAATTGTGATATTCATAAACAAATAATAAACGTATATTAACTATTGTGCTGATTTATGTTTAAGTTGGCAGCACTGTACAATATGGCTGTCATTTATGTGTTAGTGTTGCGTACAATTAGGATAAAATATTCGTTGATTCGGTTTTCTTAACTTCATATTTTTGTTTATATTAGATTTTTGACAATAAAAACAAACTTTTAAGAAAAATAAATATATATATATGGCTTTAATAAATGTCTATTTAGTTCAGATGTATAAATATAACATATAATTTCAAATTATTATTAAAAGTATCCGAATAACGGATATTTTGCGACAAAATATACATCACTATGACACATTTTCTTATTTTTACTTATTTTCCTTGTAATTTTTGATAAATTTTTGCAAATATTGATAAATTTCTTTGATATTTGACTAATTTTAATGCCGGCGAATATATTTTGCATTAGTATAACACTAATCAATATAATTTACATGGTTAATTACTTTATGGCATTATATTTAACCAACAAACTTTGAAAAAGCCAAATTAAATGATTTTGTCCATCATTTGGTTGATAGACGGGCATTTCCAAATTGCCTAAAAATAGTGCTGGACAATTGGAATATTGTCAAATATTCATGCATTAATCCAATAATGCCTAGATTTGAGTTTTTTCCTCAAAATATAATCGTTTAAAAATTTTCTGGGATTTTATTTACAAATTTGTAAACGTTAAAATTAGAATTTTTAGATTTTATTTTAAAAGAAACCATAATTAGTTTTCGCAATCAACCTAAAATTACCAGAAAAATCTTTATCTGAGAAAAAAATTGTTAAAAATCAACTTATTGTTGGCTTAAAGAAGGGTCGAGCCTACAATAAAATTCTTCTAATTGTCAATGTTTTATTGAAGGTGTTTTAAGCTATTTCACGTTTATAAATACGATTTTCCTGAATTTTGCCTAAAATTGTTTAATAGACCTAAAATAAGTTTTTATAAATACAGCCGTTAGATTATAAAAATACTAATAACACTATTAAGTGAAAATTTTAGCTATCAAAGATTTTTTGAATTAAATAAGGAACTACAGCCGTTATTTTCTCAATAAATATAGAAACTTATTTAAGGACTGCAGTAAATTATTGTTATTACATAAAAATATCCAATAGATTTGAATTATTTTCATAATTGGAAGCTTATTTCAAATAAAATTTAATATAAAATAACTTAACATAAAATATGTATTTATATATGTATATTCATGCACATCAGTTTATTATGTTTTGCATACACATTTTCAGAAATAACTGTAAAAGTAACGGGCATAAAAAGAGGCGTGGCATCCAATAATTTATATATCTTACATTTCAAAAACCTTTCATTTCTTTTCGATGTTATATGACCCACATAAGTGTGGTAAATATTCCGAATATTGGTTCAATAATATGTAAAAAATGAAACACATACATATATAATAAATCATGCCATTTTACACATTCCGCAATATCCCGGATACCCGCATTGTAATTTCAAGACTGTTTTATAGCTTGGTTTCAGAATTTTTTAAGTAGATCCACATACTTATTTTATGCCCCAGTTCGAAGACGTTGTGTAGCAGCTGATTTCTACAGGTGTTAGTTAAAATGTTCCTCTTGACCACGATCCTCTATCTGGCGTCAATGTCTCGCAATTTCTGTTTCTGGTAATCGATAAGATGTCTGTGTATGTCTAATATATCCAGTATACACAGATGACGAGACCTACATATTTATATCGCTGAAAGTCTAAACACATGCTTTCTGGATTTTCAATGTACATAGATACCTAACCCGTTCCATCACCCAATTCCCTCAAATGTTCCACTTGATCATGGATCATGGATCTTGTATATGGATTTTAATGTCTGTCTGGCAACTTCTAAAAATTTCTATCTCTGGGTTTCTAGGGCCGGATGTATACGAGCATCGCCTCATGTCATACAAACGTTCTGATTGGGGGAGTATCCTGAAATGTTTCAAGAACTTTGGTTGACATAGTACCCATGACACCATCTTAGGCCAAGCAACATGTACATAGAGGGAAAAGGAAATATACAGGCCTGGTACCAAATTGACACCAAACTGTTTATAATTTTTCAATACCATCCGTTGTCAAAGTATATACATACGTACGGCAACACTATGCAATGTTCAAAATATTGCAACAACTCATTGTCGAAATCTAAATTGTATACACATCCGTTGTCTAAATGTTAACAAACGTGATAAGCTCACTATTGACAAACAATCCGTTGCCAATAGTGAGCTTACCACGTTTGTTACCATTTAGACAACGGATGTGTATAAAATGTAGATTTCGACAACGAATTGTTACATAGCATTGTCGTACGTATTTATATATTTTGACAACGAATGTTATTGAAAAATTATAAACTCTTTGGTGTCAATTTGCTACCAGGCGTGTATATTTCTTTTTCTCTCTGTGTATGCACACAGGCTTGGTGAAATAATGGAACGATTTCAACCAATTCCAATAGACTTAATCTTAACTTAATTTCATCAATTTTTTAAAATTTCATTGAACAACGTCGATCGGTATACATACTTGAAGGTGAATGTAGGGCCAGTATTTTAGGGCGTTACAAACACCTACACGAAGACATAATACCCTCTACACTATATAATCAATTTGGAATCAAACAAGTATAAGTATTTGATTTAATTTTCGTTTTTTTTTTTGTAATTTGCTTTTCTTTGTTAAAAAAAACTGTATGAGTATTCGTTTTAATCAAAAGATGTTTTATTCAAATAACACTGGAAATAATAAAACATTCCTATATACAAGATAATTCTCTTCTATTCTTCGTTGTAATCCTACTAATTAAATTACCATTGATCTTGAAAAATCAATCCATCATTTGATTCTTATTAGTCAATTTGTTAAGCATTTACTAATGACACTCTAGATGGCTTAAATTATAGAATCCTTTAGCATAATACTCATGCACATACATATGTATGTATGTACGTAGGAAAAATTAAGTATTTAAAACAGTTGGAGAGTAAATATTGTAGTTTGTGTGCTCACATATACATAAATACCTTCAATTAACAGCAATATTAACATTGCTTTTTTCACTGTTTTAATCGCACTATTTTTTAATTTATCACCATTTTCCATTTTTTGTTTATTTTTGTAAAAATGGGCGTTAGAAGGGGCGTGATAATTAATAAAAATCTAGTATAACCTATACTTGTTTCAGAGACCAAATTTAAGTAATATTTTGGTAAAAGCCAATAAAATTCTTATTTAATATCGGGCGCTGAATAAGAAAGCACTTATAAATTTCACACGATCTCAAATGGGGACAATTCCTTCCGAAATCTTTAATAAAACCACTGCAGTAGCAACATGAATAATAAAATAAGTACTTAAAATTACTATAAAAACTAATTTCTAACAAATCAAATTATTACACCATATTTAAAAATTTCTCTGTGCTCCTTTGATCATATACTAGTTTAGAATACATAAGTAATAATTGCACAGCTACCCTTAATACTTTATACAAAAAAATGCCCACATATTTGAACGCATTACTTCCTGTTTGCCAAATACCCACACAGTATACTATGATGAAGACATACCATAAATATGTCTGCCATCATCACTATAACTAATGAAATAACTTGAAAAATTCTTAATAATAAAGCTAGAATAAAAAAAAAATATATACACAACATCAAAAACATCCATAATAATGACATGTAAAAGTGTAAAGCGGGGGTAAGAGAGAAGGAAATTAAATTGAACCTTAATTCCGTTAGATATACACAAACACATACACCAACTACAACTCCTACAGGAAATAAAATGAAGAAACAAATAAAGGAATGTTTTTAGCTTAAGAATGTACTCATCGTAGATGAGTAGTAGTTGTACTCTAGTTGGTATAAGTATTAAATTTAATTTGAAAGTTGTTTATTTATAATAGCCTGGTAGTAATATGAGGTCCTTTAAAAGGATGAAGCAATTTAATAAATTTTACGAACAAACATTTGAAAGACGACTACAACTTGTTGAATAATTTCATGTTTTGCATTTCAACATTTAAACAGACGAGTTATTAAAGGTCATATAGATTCATAAATTGTCATCGTCGAATAAAAACTTTACCCCACATCCAAATACCACCCTATTGCCACTACAATGAATTTCCTTTTTGTCTATAGCATTTTATTAAATATACAAATAAAAAATACGAGTATGTACAAGAAACCTCTTAAAGACATGAAGTGTCAATATTTATAAAAGCATGAAAATCAACTGTCAATCGCATGGTTCAAAAGGGAAAAAACGTGTTGAGCATATTTATTTTTATATCGTTTATATAAATATAATTGATTTTATAATAATAAGTCACATGTACGCATTATAATTTTTTTTTATATAATTTATAGATTATTTTCACGAGTACAGTTCTATGGTCTTTTGTTTTAGGTTGGTGCCTACTGTTATGCTGAATTGGGTACAATGATTACAAAATCTGGTGCAGATTATGCTTATATTATGGAAACATTTGGTCCATTTATGGCTTTCATACGTCTATGGATAGAATGTATGATAGTACGTCCATGTTCACAAGCCATTGTAGCTCTAACATTTAGTGTTTACGTATTAAAACCTTTCTTCCCCGAATGTACACCTCCCGATGATGCTTCCAGATTATTGGCTGTATGTTGTATATGTAAGTAAATTTAAAAACTTGAGATACCTCTTGCTATTATCATGACATTATTTATTATTATTGGTTTAGTTTTCCTTTTAGACATGGAAAATGTAAATATTGAAATAATACTAACTCTGTCCAAAAAAGTACTTTTTAAGGATTAAAAGTAGAAAAGTACTTTTCGGAATTTTGTATATATTGTCTGGACTATAAACTATTTACAGGTCTATGGACTGGTCTGTAAACTAATCTATGGACTTGTCTACGGTCTTCCCTATTGACTATTTATAGTATAGAGTAGTACATTAACTAGTGTATGATGAAGTCAATTAGTCTATTGACTAGTCTATAAGCTATAGAATATTCTATTGACAAGTCTATGCACTAGGTTCGTGATTACTCCATGAACTAGTATATATATTAATTGGTATATTCGCTAATCTATTTATAATATAAACAAGTAGGAAAGTATAGTCGGGCGTGACCGACCATATGATACCCTTCATCAGTTATGAATATTAAATGTGATTCATTTTTCATAATAAAGCATTTATCTTCAATATTACATTTAAGCAATTTATGGATGAAAAACTAATTTTCTGAAAGAGGCTTTATATGGAGGGCTAGGGGCAAATCGGACCAAGCCCGATAAAGTTTTGTGAATATATTTATATTTATATAATATTTATTAGTGCTGAATTTCATCGCGATATTTGTGTTTATAATTCAATAATTTTGGACATTCAAGTAATTTTCTGAAGTGGACTTTGTATGGGAGCTAGGCTCAAATGAGGAGTATAAAACTTAGTTGTGCTGCTTTTTATCGATATACAGGTATATTTAACATAATTATGAGCTCAGAAGCCCTTTTTGGGGTGTTCTGTTGTATGGGGGGCTAGGTGAAATAATGGACCGATTTTAACCATTTTCAATAGACTTTGTCCTTGGGCGTGTGTGCCAAATTTCATCCAATTATCTTGAAAATTGCGACCTGTACCTTGCACACAAGGTTTACATGGACAGCCAGGCCGACGGACAGACATAGCTTAATTGACTCAGAAAACGATTCTAAGCCGATTGGTATACTTTAAGGTGGGTATAAGATATTTTTGTATTTTACAAACATCAGCACAAACTCAATATACCCTTCCCACTAGAGTGGTGTATGGGTATAAAAAGTACTTAAAGTATGATACAATACAATAGTATTGAATTTTCCATACCTGAATCCTATCACATACTGAAGATTATTAATATTATTTCATCTGTAAAAATGACAAAAGCATCACCAATCACTAATGATTTCTAAACACAATACAAAATTGTTTACATTATATTGTTTAATTTTCCGTTCTTGACCTATAGATTAATCATTATTCTATTTGTGTATTTAATTAAATAAATATTTCCCTGTTAATTAATATTAGAAAAATTTCTCTGATGTTTGAAATATGAACCAAAATAAAAAACAATTGTGAGAATATCATATTGTCCCCAAAAACAAAAATTCTTTCTTAAATTACATAACTTAAACATTTTTGGAACAAGTCATCATAGATATTTAACCGGATATGGAAAAGATTTAGTCTTATTATATTATTCCTCCATCCGGTAAAACCTATATAAGCATTTGTTGCCTTATGTCTAATCAATGAGTAGAATGGTTGGTTGGTTAACGTGGTAGTTCACTACACGCGAACTGTCAAGTAGAGTCGAAGAGACTCCGTTTTGACCGGACCACTCCACTCGTCAGATGTAGTATTTATAGTATTAGATCAAGCCTGTGAAATCTGAGGATATCTTTAAGCCTAAACCCAGATATCTCACCAAGTTTAGATGTGAAGTAATTGTCATGGAAGCAGTTTCTCTTTACGGCCAGAGCAAGGCATTCACAGACGAGATGGAAGACCGTTTCTTCCTTTTCCCTGTCTTTGCAACTCCGTCAGTGATCGTTGAAAGGGAGCCCAATCCGACTTGCATGTTTGCCTTTTACCCCGTGTCCTGTTATTACTGCTGTCAGCCTCGATATGTCCCGCCTACTTCGGTTTATAAGGTGCCACAATAACTTGGACTCTTTACATGTGTCTAGGTTATTCCATCTATTTTCAGCCTTTTGAAGAAAGAATCCGAAGATATTGCTCTTGATAAAACATAACGGAGTTGCTATTGAAACGGCGTTGAAAATGTCAAGAGCAGATCCAATATTGAGGTCATGTATCCTACAGGTTGACATTATCGCAAATATTTCAGACTGAAAGACACTACAGTTGTTGGGAAGACAGTGGGATATACCTACCCCAGCTTCTTCGCAGAAGACACCAGAACCAACACCGTAGTTCATTTTAGAACCATCTGTAAAGATCTGGTGGTATATTATCACGGTAGGTTACCTCTACACCACTCGCTACTGGAAGGAACTCTGACAACACCGATATGTTTGGTCCTATTCCCTATATGGGGTTTCCATTGTAGTTTTCGATCAGGGATTACGCCTAGACATGCAACCCTGTCCTCTCATATTGTGCTGCTCAAGAATCTAGGTTCAACATTTGTAATGGCAATAAAATCCTGGTGTACCCCAAAATGCTTCGTTTTCTCAAACATCTCGCAGCATTCAAATTAAAAAAAAAAAACCGTTATATCTTCACGTTGTTACAAACGTTACGTCTTCGGTGAATTACCAACTCTCCTACAACTGTTAATAAACTTAGATATTCTAACTAAATGTAATTATTAATTCTGCATTTAGGTATATTTCCCACTCTTTTTTTGTTGTTATTTAAATTTTAATTATTTCTTGTTTTTATATTAAAGTCCAGAATTATGTAAATCGCTAAAATTCTTACATCATACAATCTAAACAAAGATTTTTCTTAATCGTAATCATTTCATGTTTAATAGCCCGAAAGAATAAAATATATATAATAGTGACAGTGTCGAGAGATAGTAATAAAATTGATGAAAAACTTGATGACTTCAATGGTGGAAAACAAACATATATAATATATTTGAATACCTTATCAGTTAAATTTGAGAATAACTGAACCAAAAATATCATATTTACTTTGAAGTGTCCCAATTTTGAGTTATTATGATAATGATGGTCCTTCAGTCTTAAAATTAAGTTTAAGTGCTTAGAAATTTTAGAAATAAGATTAAAGTTAATGTAGTAGATATATTTTGATTAAAATTGTATCTATATTTCTTATACGATGAATAATCGCGAATATTTTTTTCACATTTTTACTTGGCAGCGTTAGCATGAAAATGGTCCATCAGACCGTTATCATTTATTAAAACAAATGAATTTTAATATATTTTTTAAGTTAAAATAAAATTCGCCGACAAAAGCTAAGAAAATAAACTATTAGATTTCCTACAATATCCTTTAACAAATCTTAATCAAATTGTTATTTTCTCTATCTATTTTAGGTGTCCTAACATTTGTTAACTGTTGGGATGTTAAATGGGCTACCGCTGTGCAAGATATCTTCACATATGCTAAAGTAAGTTAAATAAAAGATTTACACATCTAATAAAATTATATTTTAAATTAAATACCCTGCATATGTTTTCATTTATTTATTTATCCTTATTAGCTTTTGGCCTTGTTTATCATCATTGCATCTGGTCTATATCAATTGTATTTGGGCCATACAGAATACTTTACATTCGAGAATACAGATACTAAAGTTACATCACTGGCATTATCATTTTATTCCGGGCTGTTTGCGTATAACGGATGGTAAGTTGTCAATGAGTAATTTAATAACCATTTGTTGCTACCATCATGCTGATGGTTGAGCTCTTTGGTAATGTGTGAGATTTTATGAAACAACAAATTGTTTTAGGAAGAAATAATAGGATTTACTATTTGCTACTGAAAATACGACAAGGATACGCAAAAAATAAGACATGAAAATGACAGAAAAGCATTAAATTTATTAAATTGGTGAATGATATGGCCAAGATTTAATTATATCGAATTATCTCCCAAAGGAATATAGTGATAATTTAATTTATATTTTTAGAAAACTTTTCTTAAAGAAACATATAAAATTGGTTATGGCACTCTTGGTTGGTTGTCGTGGTAGTTCACTGCTCCCAACAGTCAAGTAGAGTCAAATGGACTCTGTTTTGACAGGATCATACAACTCGTTAGATATATACTATTAGATCAAACCTGTATCCGTATGATATATCCAGTAGGTCATTAAGTATAGAACCATAAAACCAAACAATGCTAGATTAAGTTTTGTTGCCAAGGAATCTATGAATTTCTTTTGGGAGCAAGGACAGGATATTCGTGGAGAAGGTTGTAAAACCGTTTTTTCATTGAAGACAAGCCCATGACGAATACATTGTGGTAGTTCATTACGCGCAAACAGTCATGTAGAGTCGATGAGATTCCGTGTAGACCGCTCGTGAGATGTTTAGTACCAGATCCAGCCTGTGGCCGTGAAATATCTCAGTAGGTCATTAAGTCTAGACCCAGATTACTCACCTAGGTAGTATATATTGTAGTGTAGATCAAGGCATTCACAAGAAGGTCGAAGACTGTCTCTTCCTTTTCCTTGTCATGGTAACTGTGACAGTATACATAGAAGAGGAAGCTTAGTTTACTTGCATGTTTTCCTAACGGAACCACTGATAGACCGTTTTAAATAGACACCAATGAAATTGCAACAAAAATCGCACTGGGGATTCCGTTCTAGAAAACTCATCTGCTGATTATTGTTACAGTAAACGCCATGCGAAGACATCCAAACTAACCAGATGTCAGACAGACGACCCAACCTTGTCACATCATTCTTATATTGTCTGACCAATAGCGATGGGGTTTTGAAGGGATATGTCTTACTTTAAACTTTTTGTTGTTTTAAACTTAGGTTTGATAAGTACCCTATGTCCTTAAACTTTTAAATCATACACCGTTTGAACTCTTTAAAACTAATTTTGCTCTATTTCTCCTTTAGGAACTATTTGAATTTCATCATTGAAGAGCTTAAAGATCCCGTTAAGAATTTGCCACGTGCTATTGCCATTTCATGTACTCTTGTTACTGTTGTCTATGTCTTGGCTAATGTCTCATTCTATACCTTGCTGTCGCCCGAAGAAGTTTTAGGTTCTCAAGCTGTAGCTGTAACCTATGCCGAAAGAGCTTTTGGTGTAATTGCTTGGACCATTCCCGGTAAGAATACTAATCACTAAACCTTATAAATATAATTTTATTTCAATAACAAATTTCGTACTCTAGTATTTGTGGCCCTCTCAACTTTTGGTGCTGTTAATGGTATTTTATTGACTTCGTCACGTTTGTTCTATGCTGGTGCCAATGAGGGTCAAATGCCTGAAATTTTAACTATGATTCAAATACAACGTTTTACACCTACACCCGCTGTTTTGGCCATGGCTCTGTTGTCCATGTTGTACTTGACGGTCTCGGACATATTTGCTTTGATCAATTATGTTGGTTTCGCCACTTGGGTAAGTAATTTAAATTAAAACTTTTTAAATTGAAAACAAAAAAACATCCTTCATTATAAACCCTTTATTCTTATTACTTTCAACAGTTAAGTATTGGTGTTGCTGTCTTATGTTTGCCCTGGTTACGTTGGGCTCAACCCAATCTACCCCGTCCAATTCGCGTACCTTTGGTCTTCCCCATTGTCTATTTGATTGCTACCATTTTCGTTACCGTTGTACCCATGTATGCCAGCCCCGTTGAAACTGGCTATGGTATTTTAATGATCTTAACTAGTATACCCGTCTATTTGGTATTTATTGCGTGGAAAAATAAACCCATCTGGTTCCAAAAAACTATGGGTAAGTTATATAAATGTGGCGGAAAAAATCTATTATATATTTAATCAAATCATAATAATCACCAAGCTTTTTATAAAATCTTGTACTTTTATTTATTATTTTAAATGTCTATTTATAATTTCGAAAATCCTAACCCATTCATTGAACTTATTTTTATAGGTGGATTTACTCAAGCTTTACAAAAAATGATGATGGTTGTCCGACCCAAAAGTTCCTCAAAGGTTTTTATTTGAATTTTTTTCATTTTATTTAACTCCTTTTCCCTTTTTTCTGTCATATTAATAGGGTTTTAATGGAAATTTTAATATATTATTGAATCTATTGTTTGGTGTTTATCCGTAGAACTTTATTAATATGACAGTTTTATTTTCTTTACTAATTTAATTTTAAGTTTTCTTAGATTTATTTTCTATTTAATACTATGCCTGCTCAATTTAAGTTTGAATGCACCTTTTTATAAAAAATGTTTTATTTGCACAACCTTTATTTGTATCCATTGTGTATGTATAAGTGTGTGTAGAAAGAAAAAATTATGTTTAATTTAAAAATTTTATAAAATCAAAAGCCCTGGTCTGGTATAAATTTTACGATTTTTAGATAAACGTTTTCGGGAACAATGTTACAATATAATAGTTTTGGCTCAAACCTATAAATCCGACAAATTATACTTACATATGTATATACCTACATATGTAAAGGTCAAAGGTTACAACAGTAGATTATATACTTCGAATTCTATACCTATTATTTTCCAGAGTTCACTATACTATAGATTTTTAATTCAATTCATGAAAGTTATCCATCGCTTCTGGAATACTTTATGTTACAATCCTCATGTACCCAAAGAATAAGTCTTATGAAATGCAATTACAGCTCTGAGTCAAGCAATCGAAACGCGATCAGAACTTAGTTGAGCTAAAAAACATATTCTCTCTTGGACATATAGTGTGAACGTATTGCTCAATAAAAAGAAGGGACGAATTAACACATACATACGTGATCAAATAAGTCTTCTTATAGAATTCATTTCAAAGAGAAAAAATACAATAAATTTACCCGATTTCGAAAACAAAAAATGAACACAGTATTTGTTTTCACAATTTTTCAGGTTAAGGAAAAAGCCTGAATCATGAAAGTGAACAACTTATGTTTGTGTCAAACATACAAAAGTTACTTATGGAAAATGATCTATATGTTGAACTATAAACAATTCGATATTTTCTTCATTTGAACGATTTTTTGTAAAATCAACGTAGCTCTCAGCTTCTTAAGATTAGGATAGGCAAGATCAATTCAATTTTGTGATCCTCATCGGTCTAGTATGGTCAAAGACTTTTGGTTTAGTGAAGATCAATAACATACATATATTCTGATCTGTCTTTATCTCAGTGTGCCAGACTTACAAAACAAAAGTATTCGACATTGCATTTATGAATCAAACGACGAACTATCTTATTAAAATAAAATTTAAAAAAAAATCCTAATCCAGAGATGAATGTTTAATTTTTTAAAGGATTGATCTGCATTAAATCCGAATCTGGCATCCAAATTTCTCCATCAGATCAAGTTTTCGAGATATATGTCATATTTGAGACGTTATAACAGCGCGAAGACAACTTTATTTATAAGTTTTGTAATATCATCTAAAAGTCCAATCTGTAGACTTTAAAATAAAGATTTAACCTCTGTTATATCCAGATATCTGAATTTTTACTATATTTTCTTTTTATTTTACAACATATTTAAAATAATTTTTATCAATATCTGAGTATTAAACGTAAAACCGAGCGGATCATTGAAGTTTTCTGTGAAACACTCTACGAATTTCAATTGCGGGAAGTCGAAACGGATGAGAAAATCATGTATTTCATATGAAATAATCCGGCCTAACTAAATGTTTAACAGTTCGGGGCCACTTTAAACAAACTAATTCTATTACCCTTAAAACTAACTAAATTTTCAGTAAAAACTAAGTATCTAGATTAATTGTTTATTGTACAAAATTTTTTAAAGGAATTCAAATGTTTTTAGTAGATTTATGTATTGACCAAAGCCGGGTTTCCACATACACCCTAAACACAATGTAACGGCGCCGACCAGCAACATAAAATAAAAAAAATTGGTGACGAAACAAAAAAGACTGCTCAATAGACTTGTCCATAAACTAGTCAATAGACTAGTTTATAGAGTAGTCCATTGACTAGTTAATAGACTAGTCCATAGAACAGTCAATAGACTAGTCCATGGACTAGTCAATAGACCATTCCCTATATCTCAATATATTAATCAATAGTCTACTCAATACACAAAAGTCAGTAGTCTAATACACAGAATGGACCTTAGACTTTAGTATATCACAGATTCCTGCAACTCTCACAACTAAAACGATTAAGAAACGAGATAGTGACGAACAGCAATGTTTTTCTGATTATTATGTTTACGAAAGCCCGGCTTAAGTCAAACTTTTTAAAATTAGATTGAGGCATGTCTAATAATAAAAATTTAGTTATTAAACTACTAAACTATATTAAAATTATTACTAATTCTTTACAAAAATTTCCATTCCTTTTCATTCGCAGTAAGTCTCACAAGGTTTTTGCAGAAAGTACTAATGGTTCTTGGCAAGACTAAACCAGCTCAGGTGTAAAAACAAAACAAAAAAAGTTTCAACAAAAAAATATGAAGAATCCAAAAAAGTGAAAAACTGCTTTGAAATATTAACAAAATGGCATTTAAAGAATTTTATGTTAACGAAAAGTATATTTAAAAGAAAAACAAAAAACAATACATTGTTTAAGGCTTTTTATTTTGTGAATGATTTAAAATTTAAGTTTTTTTATAGTTGTAGTAAAAAGTAACACAAGAAATCCTTAAGAAAAGTAACATCCCCTACAAACAATAAACCCAGTTCCAGTTCCATGACCCCTATTAAACACTCAATTGTTTAAGTTGAGAAATACTTGATTTTGTTTATAAGTTTAGGTTGTTTAAACTTTCTATAAGTGAAAGAAAAGTGAATTGTAGTAGTTAATAATAAAGAGAAAACTATATATGTATAAACGAATATATTTTTGAATAAACTGCCAATATTTTAAACAATTCATACAGAGATACAAAAAAAAAACAACAACAAAAATGTTTTAAACTTCCCCTCTAGCGAGATAGTATTGTAATTAAACAATAGACGAAGAATAGATTTTATTTATTTCTCATAAACATTTGAATTATTACAAAATACACCCAACACATATCCTTAATAAAAAAACCGAGTTACCTTGATGAAATTGATGAAAAATATTAGTTATTGTTTAATTCATTAGAAAACAATTATTATTATTAATAAATGTATTAAATTGTTAAAGAAACAAATAAAAAAAATATTAATTTTGAGATTATATTTAAACAAAATAATAATAAACACATAAATAAACATAAATATTTACATATAAACAAAAATATAAAGGAAATCTCAAGTTCTGGGTAATTTAAATTCTCGAAAAAAGTTTACATCTCAACAAACTTAAAGCATACTTTTAGGGAATCATTAAGCCCCTTAAAATATGCTTTACATTTTGTTTTGAAATAACAGTTAAATATCCAGAACTAAGATAACTTTACTCAATTATTAGTATGTATTATTACGTTACGTTGCTTGGCATTTTATGTAAATGTTTTTCTTCTTTTTTTATAAAAAAAAATATATATAAAATATTATTATTAAATGTGAATTTATTATTAAATCATCATAACAAGCATTTTATATAGCTTTCCATAGAAAGCATTTGTATTGAGTTTTTTTATTATTAAATTCAAATTCAATTTATGTACTAAATATTGAAAATCATAAATTACTACTCGTATTGTATGGGAAAATAAGAATTGTTGACAATAATATAATTATTACTACTCTCTATATAAATTGTATTATATACTCAAGAAAAAAAAATAAAGTAAATAATTTAAAGAAAAAATCATAATATTATAATTGCAATTTATTATACATATGCATAAACTATTTTCTTAATTTTTTTCTTCAATTTTAATTTGTAAACTGTATACCGAAATTATTATTATTAATTTGATTTAATCAAAAAGAAAAAAAACTTTATAAATGTATTAAGTTGATCATTTATTTAAAAGAAACAATAAATTAATAGACCAAAAGTATATAAAGTAGTTTTATTTCTTAAACAAAATGTGGAATAGAATGATAAGCAGTAAATGAACCAAAAATTTGTATTACATACCCAGAGGGAAAAGGAAATATACACGCCTGGTACCAAATTGTATATACATACGTACGATAACACTATGTAATGTTGACAACATTGCAACAATTCGTTGTCGAAATCTTAATTTTATACATATCCGTTGTCTAAATGTTAACAAACGTGGTATTGACAAACAATCCGTTGCCAATAGTAAGCTTACCACGTTTGTGAACATTTAGACAACGGATGTGTAAAAAGTTTAGATTTCGACAACGAATTGTTGCAATGTTGACAACGTTGCGACATAGTGTTTTCGTACGTGTGTATATACTTTGACAACGGATGTTATTGAAAAATTATAAACTCTTTGGTGTCAATTTGGTACCAGGCGTGTATACATCTTTTTCCCTCTGTGTATATTATAATTTTTTGATAATATGGGACCATTATGGGACTAAAAAGCCCTTAAAGGAAATTTTCTAAGCTTTATTCTGAGCAAAAAAAGGAATTTCAAAAACAAATTTAAAAATATAAAAAAAATTTTTTTTTGAAACAATGACTATATAGCTTTTTGAACTCTTTGAACAATTGGAGTTACACTTATTTGAATAAAACTCTGTATAACCAAAATGTTCAACTTTAACACCCTCTACCTCCGGCAGTTATTGACCAATAGAACTGAAAATTTTGTGTTTGGCCTACTAAGTATCCCATAGTATTAACCTTGGTGCAAATTTCATCCAAATCGGAAGACATAGATTTTAAAATCTAGGTCACTTGTCACGAAATTCCCCATATATAAACCCAGAATAAACTTATATTGAAAAGTAAGGGGTTAAAATGCTAAAATTTGCAAACACAAAAGCATTATAAAACGGGGTTGGCATTGGAGGCAAGTAGTTACTACTCTCCTTACAAATAGGGAGTTAGGTAAGTATGTACTTACTACGATCGCCTGCAAATAGGGAGTTAAGTAAGTAGTTTTGTTTCAGAGAGAAACAAATTGACTACGAAAATACGTCCACTGTGTCTATACATATATATTTTTATACCCACCATCAAAAAAGACGGGGGGTTGGTTGGTTTTGTCACTCGGTTTGTAATACGTCGAAATATTGGTCTTAGACCCAAAAAAGTATATATATTCTGGGTCCTTATTAAATTCTAAGACGATTTAGCCATGTCCGTCTGTCTGTTGAAAGCACGATGGAGTTCGAACGGAAACAGCTACAAAGCTAAAATTTGGTTTGTTTGGTATTACAACTGGGCGTTATCGGTCCACTATTTCGCATAGCCCCCATACAAATGGCCCCCTGAAAAAGAGTTTTGGCAGTCATAACTGTTTCAAAAATACGAGTATAGCAATGAAATTCGACATAAATAATTCTATACGAGCCAAAATATCTCTACCAAATTTTTTGGGGATCGGTCCATAATTGTCCCTATCCCCCATATAAGGTCCCTTTCAGAAAATGACTTTAACGTCCATTACTGTCTTCAAAATACAGGTACAAAAATGAGCCAAAATGTAAATTAAATTTAATGAAGATCGGTACATAATTGACCCTACCCCCATATAAGGTCCCCATCGTTGTATTCGGCATAAAAAAAGTTTTTTATTATAATTCTTCATTCAGAATTTTATGAGGATTGGTCTATAACTGACCTAGATTTTGTTTTGTTAATAACTAGCCAACAAAACAAAATATATGTTTCTATGCTTCGTTTGTGTTTAAAACAAAGTTCAAACAATATGTCAAAGCTAAAAGGTACTTACATAATATATTATATGTAATACATTACTAGACCCCTTTTAAGCAATGCAGACGGTATGTAGTCATTGAAAGGTAATTTGTTGAGTAAGTAAAATTCATAAAATGTTTTTGCTGGGAATATGTACATATGTATCTCACAAATACATACCTATATGGGTCCTTCAGAAAATTGATTTTAACATATTTATGTACATATAAGGTCACCTACAGAAAATGACCTTAAGGCTTTCACTTAGCGGTGAAATCCGACATGTTTTATTAGATTCAAAATCCATCTACAAAATTTCATGTAGAACGGTTCATAATTTGCTCCAACCGCTATATAACCACCATTAGTTTATTATCAATAAATCATTTAAATATTTTAGTATTATGATACAATTTGACAAAAACGATTTGTTTTAAAACATGTGGACCAACGTGGATTATTTGACAAAAACGAAGGGGTTATATGGGGGCAAGGGTAAATATGGGCCTATCCTTATACATTTTTGTAGAGGGATTTACGTTTACATTAAAGTTATTTGTGCAGAATTTCATCGTGATACTAGTGTTTATAAGTGAATTTTGACCTTCAAGCCATTTTCTGAAGGGGACTTCGTATGGAGGCAAGGGTAAGATATGGACCAATCACAACGAAAATCGGGAGCACAATTTAGACTTATATAAATCCACGTTATGCCAATTTGTGTAGAGATAGAGAACATTTAACATAATTATGATCTCAAAAGCTTTACTCGGGGTTACCATTTTAACCATTTTTCATTGGGTCGAAAAAATGAGCATGTGCCAAATTTCATCGAATTATCTGCGTGCGCACAAGGCTTAATCGACTAAGAAATAATTTAACTACTAATTATAATATTTATTACTGACGCTTTTTCTTATAAACTATGCTGTTTAATCTTTGTTTCTAAATATAAGAAATTTATAAAACATTTATTGTGTACAATTCAATATGAAAATAAAGATTTTATTTTATTCAGTGCTAAATTCGGCTCTGCCGAATCTTAATTAAAGGTAAAATTACCCGAACGTTGCTGACCATGACCGTACTGTTAGCAAATTTGTGCAGTGCAGAAGATTTCAAAACGTATCACTTGTCTTCAATATAAACAAAAAATAATTTAAGTTTAATAGACCCGTTAAAAAATAACATATTTTCTGGCAACTCAATTTTAACATAAACTCACCACCACATATACTCACCACTTAGCAGAGTTGTTATACAACAAAAAACAGGAGAAAAGTAAAATCAAAACAAAACGAAGAAAATAAAAAAGAATAACAATAAGCGGCTGATAATTTTGACACTTGTAGGAGAGAAAAAAAGAACTTTTTTTTGTATATTTTGGAAAAAGTTTTTGCAGAAACTACTACGCGTGGAAAACTAATTTTCCGCTTTTTATAATTGAATTTTTTTATAATAAAAACCAGCGATATAATTGTAAAAACTACAAAAAATAAAAAAGAATATATTGTGTTAAAAGTTTATGGAAAAGTTTTTAACAAATTTGTTAACAATTTAAGGAAACCAATTTAGAGTAAAAAGTGATGAACATTTTTGTGCTGAACGAGGCAACAGCTGTCACAAAAACAGCAGCAGGAGCAGCTATTAACAAATCTAGGCGATTTGTCATAAACAGGAATTATTAGTTTTTGGAAATTAGTTTAATTTATTTCATAATTATTGAAAATTAACTCGAACAAAA